GGCCGGCCGGCGCGGGCTGGCTTCAGTCGGGCCTGTCGCCTCAGAGGCGCATCCCAGTCAGCCGGCGTGGCGGGGACGAGCGTGCGCTGGCTGGGTCTGGTGTCCGGCTTCGGCGGTTTCCGTGCCGTGAGGAAAACGGTCCTGTCAGACGGCCGGCTCGGTGGCTGCAGGCCTTGTCTCGCTCCTCAAGCGCTGACTTACTACGGGTCGCGGCTTTCTGTTTTCGGGCACACCCTCCCATCTGCGACTCCTGCTAAGCGTTCCGACCACGGCGACCCCGAGGAGGGGAGCCCCGCTGCTGCGGTCGCCCCGACTCTGGCGCCCGCGGCCCTCGCTGGTTGGCACAAACCCAGCCGGTCAGGGACTCCGCTTCCCACCTGCGTTTACCCAACCCCCAGCTGAAGCTGCTGTGGTCGTTCTTCCCCAAAACCAAGTGTCCGGGGCCGCCCGGAAAGCTCAGAGAAACGCCAAAGCCCGGTGAGAGAGAAGCGGGAACACCTGGCCCAGGCCCCTCGGCCGTCCCGCCGGCACCGTCAGCGCGTGAACTGCTGACAGCCCAGAGAGCCTCCGCTTGGCGCCTGCAACACCCTCAGGCTCCCGGGCCTGTTCCTGCAGGCTGGCCGGTCTAAGGGAGCGCCCAGAGCTCCCTTCAAAATAACGGCCCGTGGCAACAAGCACTTGGCAGAAAAGTGGCATAAAAGCAAACCGTGGCCATCACCCCTCAGTGGCCTTTCGCCCCCGTCGTTCGAAACAAATGGGGTGTGCGACATTCCAGCAATCTGCCGGGCTGCAGACTGCAGTGAAGGGGAAGGGAATAAAGGGTTAAAAGCAAGCAGCTAAAATCTTGCCTCGCAGGACAGAGGGAGAGAGGGGGACCCTGCAAGGCAAACGCCCCATAAACCAGCAGTGCTCTCTCTGCCTCCCAGGAAACACGGGGCTCCCTTCCACCCACACCCCGAAGCTGCCGCTCATTGCCTTGCCGCCCGCAGGAGACGTCTCAGAGACGCGC